TTAAAACCAAATCGAACCACCTGTAACCCATTAAAACCAATATCAACCCACTAGAGCTTTTAAACACTACAGTATGGTATCCAGGTACAGTGCATCCCATTAACAAGGAACGTATTAGGGTACAGTGCATCCCGTTAAAGCGTATCAGGGTACAGTGCATCCCGTTAACAAGGAGCGTATCAGGGTACAGTGCATCCCGTTAAAGCGTATCAGGGTACAGTGCATCCCGTTAACAAGGAACGTATCAGAGGTCAACACAGAGGCGGCGAGGTGCACTGTATACCTGTCCATGCACCAAGCGAGAGTAATAATCCTCCAACGTATTGTATTTCCTGTTGTTTATTTTTGTCGCGTTTGTTTTGCTGTTACGAGGAAATACATAAAAAATACTTTTCTTTGTATTGCTGTTTTATTTTTGTAGTCGAACACTGTATTTGATGAGCGGTTTGTATGTTTTTTTTTTCTGTGCCTCTACCATAGAATACGCTGGTGAGGGATGTAGAGTTATCCCTGTGTGTCTGTGTATGTATGTCTGTCTGTCTGTCTGTTTTTCTGTCACTTTCTCTCTCTGTCTCTATCTGCATTTCTGTCTATCTTTCTGTTACCTTCTCTCTCTCTCTTTCTCTGTCTGTCTCTATCTGTCTCTCTGTCTATCTGTCACCCTCTCTCTCAACAGACAGACAATCACTCTTGAAGAAAGACTCACAAACTCCACATTTAAAAGGTAAAATAATTTCTTAAAACAATTACCACTAAATAATTACGAACCTCGCAGTGTTCTCAAACTCCAGCGTAAAGTCAACGCTTATCACCGAATACGTCAACATGGTTAGCTAAGTTTATATGTGCATCCTCTTTCTGTTTCCACCACACATACGCACACACCCACCACCCACCTGACCCCCCCCTCCCCTCTACTATCACTACTACTTTGCTGTCACTTGGAATCAAGTATGACGATCATCCAGCTATGATACAATGATATGACTTATTAAGGATGTCATCTTCGTTGGTGAACTATGAGGTGACTCGAGAGGTCGATACGGGATCGGCAGGGTAGTCCACAGATGTTGCACATGTGGAGGGCTACAACTAGTGCGGGAGGGGCGGCGGCAGCGTCTTTCCGGCGCTGGCGATTGTCTGCTTCGGTTTGCAGTTGGGCTAACTCGAAAGTATTGACACCTTCCCGTGTGGTGCTCCTCCAAGCGTTACGATGTGGAGTAATCGACTCCCAGGTGAGGGGGTCGATTTGGCACTTTTTCAGGTTTGTCTTAAGACTATCCTTATACCTTTTCAGTTGCCCGCCAGCGTTACGTTTACTATTCGGTAGGTGACTGTAAAGTAGCTGCTTTGGCATATGGACTGCTGATAGCCCAGTTTGTTGGGATTCGCCTTAGTAACCTGTCCATCAGGCATTGCCTTCGTCCGCCGGTGTAGTCGTTGGGTTCCCCTGTTGGTCATCTCTTCCGCCGTTGGGGTCTTGTTGGAGCTCTGTAAACAAGTCTGCCTGATGCTAAAACAATAATACACTGACAGCTAAAATAACCCCAACAAAAGCACATAGACAGCTAAAACAACAACAATAACAGTAAACAAACAGCTACCATAATACCAACCCCCCACCAGAAAAAAAAACTACTCGAATTCACAGACTACAGGAAACATTAACAGACACAACTTCTACCTTAATGACTCCCAACTAATTATCCAACTGCCACTTAATACCTCGATGGTAATTAGTGAAAGCAACAGCACCATCGAGGGACTTTTACCACTCTGTTAGTGTAATTAAAAGCGGCGATAACAACAACGCGTTCTGGGTAATTAATGACAGGGTGGGAGGAGGGGAGAAGGAAGGGGGAGAAGGAGGTGGGGAGAAGGAGGTGGGGAGAAGGAGGTGGGGAGGAGGGGGAAGGGGGTCATGGGGTTGTGTTTTCTCTTAAGTGATCATTACTACTTCAGTCTGCTTGTGGTGAGAGAGAGAGAGAGAGAGAGAGAGAGATATTCCCAACCAACGTATGTACCCTCACGTGAGTTAAGAGAAATAGATAGAGAGATAGGAAGAGAGAGAAAGAAAGAGAATGCGAGATAAAAAGTTACGAGACATATAGAGAGAAGATTATTAGATGGAGAGAGAGGATGAGTGAGAGAACACACACACACACACACACACACACACACACACACACACACACACACACACACACACACACACACACACACACACACACACAGTCCGCCACTACAACAAATTCAGCCCATAAGAGCCCGCACTGATAGATATAAGAACAGCACCATCCCCTATTGTTAAAATAATAAACAACTCCTGATTTATGTACTGTACAGCCCTGTAAATGTATTCAATGCATATTATATCATTATGTCTAAATCAAATGTAAGTCTGTATATTTTCAGCCACCGGCTGCAACTCTATTAATAAACCGTTTATTATTATTATTATTATTACACACACAGGCAAAACTTACTCCCTATACATCTCTCTCTCTCTCTCTCTCTCTCTCTCTCTCTCTCTCTCTCTCTCTCAGGTACGCATTACCTATTCCCTCTGGTTCCAGGTAAGCAAACAATTAATTAGATTCTCCTTCAGGTGTTATACATATGGCAACATTCGGCAACGGTGTCAAGTTTACCTGTTAGTAATTGCACCTCTATTTTTATCACTGAGCCCACCTGTAAAAGATACATTAACTGATAAATTCTACGTGAGATCAGATCATTACTCACACTGATAAAGCTCTCCTGGGGAATAGTTCCATCTGTTTATATGTATTTTAACTGCACTTTTGACTGTAACTCGAGAGAACTGTATGGGTTACATAATTCAGATTTGGTATATTGTAGTGTTAAGCTTTAGATATGAGGGGGAGGGGGGGGTCAGGTCAAAGGTTATCAGGTATATGTTGATTGTTGACGTCAGAGTTTATTGTGGTTTTCGTGGTTCAGTTGGTTTACGGTCAATTCGTCGCCCACACTTAGGCGTCGGTTCGCCCACACCTGAAGTCAGTTTGCCCACACGTTGTCAAGATCTTTTTATGTTTATTCATGTACTGGATAACAATGTAATATATACACATTAAGTCTCAGGTTGTTTATTCGGTGACTTTCAAATAATAAATAACTATATAAAATACACAAACTAAAAAATTTAAAATGTCAGTCAAAGAAGTTGGTCACATATCAGCTGCTGCGGCCTTGCACGGGTTAGCTCTCGGGCGGACACAGTACACGGCCAATATGTTACATTTGGCCGTCGCATTTTTACGTTATATGTGTACCCTAGGCTGTCAGTGAGCTAGACTCGGCCGTGTTTTGTACCCTCCTCCACGACCTTCAACGTAACATCACATTCTGATTGCTCGTCAGTGTCTCGTGTGAGCGGATATTCAATTGAAGACTCTAGTTCCATTGGAAGGGGGGGCTGGTTCCGGTGTGTCTCGTAAATAATAAAGAATGTTCTATTACCATGTACGTTCAGGTTAAACTACTAAGAAATTACATTGTACAGAAATTACATTGTACAAAACGTCCGGATTAAAGTGATACTCGCCTTCAGTCCCGGTGCTCTCCGCGGCGGGGATAATCATGTCTGACACTGGCATGATACTGTTGGTGCATGAATTGCAACTCCAGTCTATGGAATGACCGGATCTAACAGCTGCCGGTACCCAGCTCGAGGTACACCAGTACTACGTATCCTGTGCTGCCACTTCCCACACCCGTCACACTGCAGACCTTCTTGCCGTGCCCACACAGGCACATTGCAATGAATGCAATAATCATGAGTCTATCATCTTGTCATTGACTGACTAAATCCACTGAACTTTAACAGTTACCAAACCAACAGACGATATTTTCATAGTTTCGAAAACTTATTGAAATTCAGTTCTTTACATCAATAGATTACTAAACCTTAATAAAACAGGTAACAAAACAGGTGTGGGTGAACTGACTCGATAGTATGGGTGAAATGACCGGATTCCGTTCAGTTAAGAGAGGTGTTTTGTGATGGTTTAGTAGTGTGTTGTGTTGGAATCTCTCTCTCTCTCTCTCTCTCTCTCTCTCTCTCTCCTAACCTTTCACGTGATACCATAATAATGAATTCACTCGCCACCACCTACACCCACGAATCTCTCACCTCTCACTCCCTCTCTCAGCCCTCTCATCTCCTCTCCCAGCCCTCTCACCACCTCTTCTAACCTTCTCACTCACTCCTTCTACCATCACTCTTACTCACCCCCAGCCCTCTCATTCACCCCCTAGCCCTCTCATTCACCCTCTCTCCCAGCCCACTCACTCACTCACTCTTCCAATCCTCCTACTCACCCCCAACCCTCTCACCTCCTCTCCCAGCACTCACACTTATCTCCATCCCACTCACTTACTCCAGCCCTCCCACTCAACCATCCCTCTCACTCACCTTGGCATTCACTAATTAGCTTTTGTTTAATCTGTGTTATTTCTCATAATTTTCTCATCACATTCCATTAACCCCATACTATTTTTCTGCTTATGTGTGTGTGTGTGTGTGTGTGTGTGTGTGTGTGTGTGTGTGTGTGTGTGTGTGTGTGTGTGTGTGTGTGTGTGTGTATTATAAGTAGTACTCTGTCCATTCGTGATTATCTTTTTCTCTTTTTTTATTTGCATATCTGTCAGACTGTCAGTTTATTATTCTTTTGTATGTGTCCCTGTCTGTCTAATTGTCTGTCTGTCTGTTTGTTTGTCTGTTAATAGTTTCCTTTAATACAGACATTGTACAATTAAGAATACAGACACACAAACACTTACACAAGCAAGTAGACAAACCTGTACATCTAAAACACACACACGCACACACACACACACACACACACACACACACACACACACATACATACACAAAGATGAACGTAGCGGCGACGAAAGGTGGGCTGTGACGCAGGAGCAGGCTGGGCCGTGTGTGCTGGCTGGGTGGCATGGGTGGCCACTCAGTTGGTGGCGGGTCGGCACAGGAGCGAGCCGCCCCCCTACACCACTACCACACCTCGTCCTCCCGTGTGCAACAAGTGTCTGGAAGCGTCTCACCAGTTACTATTATCACTCCCGAGTATTTAAAGAACACATTAAAACGTGTTTTTGATTATATTAATCAGCTGTTTAAAGGGATCTACCACGTGGCTTTGTTGACACTTTTTTGGGGGGACACTAACGATAGGATAGATCTTGTGATGAGATGTCTTAAGAATCAGAGTTGATCTTCCTCGAGTGATTACCAAGATGATCTCATTTTGTTTTATGTAAAGTTAGAACGTATACGATAATAAATAACAAAGGTACGTAGTCATTACAGTAGTTAAGATCGACTCTACCTGCGTGAGTGAGTGGCTGATTCTTCCCGGGAACTGACTTGACCTGCTACGTCAGCGCCACCGCACATGCCATCTACCTTCTGAGATGTGGTGAGTGTTGATATGATCTACTGTTGTTAGTGTATGTAGGAGGAAGAGAAGGAATGAGGAGGAGAAGGAAGAGCTAGAGGAGGAGGAGGCGTGAATAGGAAGAAGACGGATATGAAGAAGGGTGGAAGAGAAGGTAAGGAAGGAGGAAAAGAGGAGAGAGGAGGAAGAGGTGGGGAAGAAGTGTGGAAACGAGGAGAGAAGGAGAAGCTAGAGTGAGAAGGGAGAGAAGGTCTACCTATGAAGCTCCTACACCTGTAGCTCCCACACCTGTAGCTCCAACACCTGTAGCTCCTACACCTGTAGCTCCCACACCTGTAGCTCCCACACCTGTAGCTCCAACACCTGTAGCTCCCACACCTGTAGCTCCTACACCTGTAGCTCCAACACCTGTAGCTCCCACACCTGTAGCTCTAACACCTGTATCCCCCACACCTGTATCTCCCACACCTGTATCTCCCACACCTGTAGCTCCCACACCTGTATCTCCAAAACCTGTAGTTCTAACACCTGTAAGAATGGATGACAGGTGTTGGGGCAGGTAACCTCACAGCTCAAGCATACCTGGTCTACCTGTAATTACCACCTGTGAGTACCACCTATAAGACTTAATGGGGAGTGAAACTGATCGTCGCCAGCCCAGGCAGGAGGCAGAAAGTAGGAGTTCTTAAGTAGGAGGAGGAAGCAGGAAGCATGAGGCAGGAGGTAAGAAATAGAAAGCTCGAGGTAGGAAGCAGGAGATAGGAGGTACAGTTGGAAGCAGGAGGTAGGAGGCAGGAAGCAGGGACTAACCTAACCTAACCTAACCCACATATAAACTACTTTTACCACACAACAACAACATCAGTACTACCCCTCAAAAAATAGCATTACCCTTCTCACCCCCTCCTTACGCACGCCAGACGAACGCTCGCCCGCCTTTAGCCTACAGAAGCGTTCTATTTGTGGTAGGAATATGAGTGACAGGTCAGACCTCAACCTGCCGACCTTGTGGCTATTTAATAAAGGTGAGGCCCTCCAGAACTCACCTGCCAGGTATTCACATCAACTCATTAGTATCACACAGGTAATTAAAAATAATATTTCTTTTTGTTTACGTTATTTTGAGTAAATTTTTTTCAGTGAGTCAATATAATATTTAGTTCTCGTTATATTATCAGTATTATGTTTGAACTTTGTGTTGATATAAATATGTACAGGTATATTGTTGTGTTTATTAGTAAATATATCAGAGTTTTGGCTTCTAACTTTGACATAATCTTTACTCTTACAATATTTGGTGTTTGGTATAGCGTGTAACCTAACGTAACGTAACGTAACGTAACGTAACCCTCCAAGTGGCATTAAGGTGTTTAATTGTCAGGTGAAATAAACTGAGGGTCTAAACTTCATGTTATTCTTATCCTTTTTTGCAGACCACAGTATTTTCTATTCCTTTTCCCCCAGACTCGATAATATCCCCGCAAAAACTTCCCCGCTTGATGGTACACAGCGGCCAGGCTTTTAGGGACGGGATGCAGGTATAAAAATAAGAGGGAAAAAATCTTCTTTGCCAATAATGGTTTTTTCCCCTGCCATAAAAGGTTAAAGGGAAATACTACAGGTTATCAATGTTAGTTTTTTTCCCTTGTAGGTAAATGCTAATATTTCCCTGATAATACCGAGATGAAACGTAACATTAATCTTCCAATAACGATAGTGTGTGTGTGTGTGTGTGTGTGTGTGTGTGTGTGTGTGTGTGTGTCAATTTCTACGCCCAATCATACAACTATTTCATACTCCCAGCCAATCACATTCATTTACATCCCTCCTCAACCAATCACATGACTTCATCATTACCCCCAGCCAATCACGTGTGTGCAGCATAACTAGTCAGAACCCCTCGTCCATTAACCAAGACTTAGAAATAAAACTCCCTCGTTATTTATAATCAAAGGGCAGGTGAGGACAGGTGAGGACAGGTGAGGACAGGTGAGGACAGGTAAGGACAGGTGAGGACAGGTGAGGACAGGTGAGGACAGGTAAGGACAGGTGAGGACAGGTAACACTGAGGAAGATTGATTCCTGTAGTGCAGGTAGGTACTGTAGGTCACCTGGCGTTAATTAACCTGGCGTAGGTAATGATATCAAGGTGTGGTGAAGGAGGTGGGGTAGAGGAAGTCAGGTGGAGTGAGAGAAGGGGAGGAAGGAAAGGGAGGTGAGGAAGGGAGGCAGGAGAGAAGGGGAGGTGAGGAGGGAAGGGGAGGGAGGGAAGGAGAGGTGAGGGAAGGAGAGGTGAGGGAAGGAGAGGTGAGGGGAAGGAGAGGTGAGGGAAAGGGAGGTGAGGGAAGGGAGGTGAGGGAAAGGGAGGAGGAAAGGGAAGGTGCTGGGGGGGAGGTCAGAGAAGGGACTAATGGAAGAAGAAGAAAAAGACACACACAACTTAAGAGGTGTGTGTGTGTGTGTGTGTGTGTGTGTGTGTGTGTGTGTGTGTGTGTCAGCAGACTGTAGAGAGTTTTACACTCACTTTAAATTGCTAGTTTCCAGGCCTTTAAATGATGTCGTTTAGAGTGCCTGTACCTGTTTCCCTGCCTGTCTGGTTGTCTGTCTGGTTGTCTGTCTGTCTGCCTGTCTGGTTGTCTGTCTGTCTGTCTGTCTGCCTGTCTGGTTGTTTATCTGTCTTTCTGTCTGTCTGCCTGTCTGTCTATACGTTATTAAATATCATACACCAGTTAACACATACACGTATACACAACACCGCCAAAAACAACAACAACAGTTCGTTAATCCTCAAACTCACTTAACGAGAGAAAACAGCATTAAGTGAAATCTGTTTATTGAAAAAAAATGAATGAAGAATATGCCCCCACGTTTCATTTTAGCCAGAGAATGAAATCTATTTACGTACGAGCTTCTACCTATCCCCTATCCCCCATCCGCGCCACGTAAAAAAATATAAAATACTATTGGACAGACAGGTGTACACAGTATATATGAAAGTGAATGCCATATACCAACACAATACTTTTATATCATATTTCGTAAACTCAGCGAAATCTCAGTATATTAAATCTGTCTGTTAAACATAATGAAGTTTGTTGTATGATAAATTTGTATATCAAAATATATTGTATTGAACCGTAGTTAAAATTAAACGGAAAAATACATACAGAGCTCTCTCTCTCAGGACCGCACACAACATCCCACCTACTGGGCCACACACAACCCCCAGGTGTACACACCATCCCCATGGCCACACAACACCCCCTCCCCTCAGGGCTACACAACTCCCCCAGGGCTACACACAACATCCCCCCTCAGGGCCACACCACCACCACACCTCAGGGCCACACAACACCCCCTCCCCCAGGACACAACATCCCCCCCTCAGGCCACACACACCACCACCCTCAAGACCACACCACCCCACCAGGGCCACACACAACACTCTCACCTCAGGGCTACATCCCCAGGGACACACAACACCCTTCAGCACCACACAACACCCCACCTCAGGGCCACACCACCACTCAGGGCCACATCCCCCACCTCAGGACCACACCACCCAACCTCAGGGCCACATCCCCACCTCAGGCCACACCACCCACCAGGGCCACACAACACCAACACAGGTCCAAGTTTAGCGTCAGGTAAAGCTCATGACATTTTTCACGACGAGACTGACAAGTAAACACAGTCAGCCATTATGTCAGATCCTTTTAGGGTGTGACCTAACTAGTGGTACAGTGTGGGTGTTGTCTGTCTGTCTGTCTGTCTGTCTGTCTGTCTATCTGTCTGTCTACGATTCACAATTATCCTTACAAAAAGTCGCTGTAATATAAGAAGACAATAACAACAATATCTACTGTGTAAACTGGAATTAATAACAATACTTCAGGTCATCACAGGTTTGTCATCCGCCCCCCCCCCCCTCATAATGTCAAGATCTAGTTTAGTTATGCCTTCGTCCATGTCTGTTTTCTCTTGTGTGTGTGTAAATAAATCGTGAGCGTCATCCTGGAAAAAATAAAACATTAAACAAAATAATAAAATGTTTCTATTTTAATTATTTATTTTCTAGTCATATGTACTTTTTTTTCTCTCTCTCTCTCTCTTTCTTTCTCTCTCTTTCTTTCACCATTTCTCTCTCATTCCTTCCTCTTTCTCATTATAAATTTTCCCTTCCACTAAAATATTCCCCCTGACATAAGAAAAAAAAATTTCCCTACCACTGATATAATTTTTCCCTACTCATACTAATATTTCCCCGCATTACCATTAATAACATGATGGCCCAACGTCGCTGATCGTAATTTGATGATTTAATATCCCTAGAGGATTTTCCCTAATATATTAAATACTGGGGATTTGTGATGAACGAGTAATTGCCAATATAGGTTGACCCTCTGTTGTATTTAGGGATTTTCCGATCACCTGATGATAGACCTTCCCCTAGTTTATTTCACCTGATAATTAAACACCCCAATGCTTCTCGGAGGGTTAGGTTAGGTTAGTGTTAGGTGAGGTTAGGTTATTTTAAGAATTGAAGAGAGAGAGAGAGAGAGAGAGAGAGAGAGAGAGAGAGAGAGAGAGAGAGAGAGAGAGAGAGAGAGAGAGAGAGAGAGAGAGAGAGAGAGAGAGACAGAGAGAGACAGAGAGAGAGAGAGAGAGAGAGAGAGAGAGAGAGAGAGAGAGAGAGAGAGAGAGAGAGAGAGAGAGAGAGAGAGACAGAGAGACAGAGAGAGAGAGAGAGAGAGAGAGAGAGAGAGAGAGAGAGAGAGAGAGAGAGAGAGAGAGAGAGAGAGAGAGAGAGAGAAATAGGAAGAAAGAATGAAAGAGAGTAATACAAGAAGAAAGAGAGCGACAGAAAGACAGACAGAAAAAAAACAGACAGGAAAACAGGAAAAATGGACAGGAAACATCAGGTCTGGATTCATCTGACGAGGAAGAATAGGTGAGACGGGATTAAACGAGGTACCTTATCTACCCATACAGCCGCGATGGACAACTCCGCCTCCCCCTAC